CCACCCTTTCCCCTCCTCAGACACATGCAATCTGACTTCGTTTCTTTTAAAAATTTAATGTCTTTCGTGTATGGATTCTGTGTTGAACTAGGCTGAAGGCTCGTTGGCGGGGAAATTTACGAGGTGTCAACGCGGTCTGAGTCAACATTCATACCAAGATCGTGCTGCTGGGCAGGCTTGGTGAACAGAGATATTGAGTAGGAGAGGAAACACGAGAATGACTGCGTGCGTCTTGAGTAAATTAAAATGCATGCAGAACTCAAGCAATGTATATACTGGGCAGAGTTGAGCAGAGTTGAGAAAACAGTGCGAGGAGATTGTCTTGCGGTGCAGACGCGTAGGGCCGTACTCTAGTGAAGCAAGGCAATCATTCTACATGAGAGACGGTGAGTGTTCCTTGTGGGTGTCTGGCTATCGACTGTGTATCGATGAGACTCAGTAATTGAGAGTCTGGTCAGTTCACTGTAGAATTCCTCGGCGTTGGCTGACAAGCGAAGTGTGAATGTTGAGAAAACTTAGTGTTGCATAAATCTGCAGTCAGTGAAAATGGACGTGCCTATTTAATGTGTTAGATTATTCGCGGTCTAGCTGGGTAAGAGAAATGAAGTGTGTTTATTCTTACTACTAGCCCGAAGCAGAGAGTTGGTCAGTGGCCGTAGACACGGAAGCGGTTACAGCTCAAGAGTTAGGATCAGCAGCGAGGGTGAGGCTCTGTTGTGGAGCTCCGCTAGAAGAAGCAAGAGCAATAGAGCAGGAGCATAGAGTGTTGGCAATCATTAGCCATTATGTTAACATGACATTAGTGCTTGCTTCGTAATTCATTCTCTATGTGTGCGAGTTTGTGGACACGCACATCTTGTTGAATAGATACTTGTAATGATGAACTGCTGGTTATGATATTGTGGACTGTGTTTTGCTCATAGTGTGAACGAAATTCATTAGTTGGACACTTCTCATGTGTGCTAGATACATCCACCCCAATTATCACACAACTATGTCGTTTTCCTTGACATTTCATTGGAACGTATATATTCTTTAAGGAATGCACATTCTCTTTCCCCCATCACACTACCACCTCACTCCTTTCCTTCCAACCACAAACAAAGTAAATTTCCGTATACTGAAAGATAAATGTTACACATAAATATTGTCATAGCAATTTGTATTGTCTGAACGATGAACTATAAATCTTCCATATGAAAATGTGTCATTAGAATGTGTATTGTGTGAATGACGTACTGTCAAATTCTCCACCGACTTTTCTTTCTGTCCAAGAAAGATGGATCGTCAGCATGGTTGCTAGAAGCTTCCATTAACTATTAGGTAAATAAGAGCAATGGTAATTGCACTGAGCATCACAAAGTGGAATAAAGTCAGCAATTTCTTCACTCCAGACAGCTGCAAGAGAACAATGGTGTACAAATATCAATGTTATATTCAAAGAAAGCATAGTACGTGGGTTGTCAAGAAAAGAAATGGGCAACAGTTATTATGAAAGAGGACGGTTACACGATATTTGTGTAACTTAGCACCTAGGTTCTTTTCGGTTTTTTTTTTTTCGTCCACTACATCTCGGGGCCCTCGAGATTTGGTAGGAAAATTCCTAGAACGTATAATAGTGCCGGGGGAAAGAAGGGGGGGGGGAGGGGGTTAGGGTTAAGCTTAGTAGTAGTCACCTCATTTAATACTAGCCCTAATCCTACCAGTTTCCCCTCTATAGGACGTTCTGGGAATTTCCCTTCCAAATTTCGAGCGACTTGAGGTGTGGTAAAATAACATAAAACAACCGGTAGCTAACTAGAATAACATGTCATGGCTGAACGAGTAATGCAAAGAATACTATGCTTTAGCCTTTTAGTTTTGTTTGGCTAGCTGTTGTTTCTCTCGAAGTACGGACAGCAAATAAGCAATAAAAATGTCAAATTTAGATCCAAGAACTGGTGACACAGTGAACAACATGTGTCACTCCATTGAAACGTATAAACTAGAATACTCATTCAGCCATTTTGACTAAGACAACCGTTTAGTGCATGTGCTTGCGGAGCGCCGTTTAACGGTCGCACTGACGGGTATAGGCACTTTGTCATTTCTCGCGTATGCGCATGACTGGCCAGTCCACGCGACTGCCATGTTACAACGATATAGCACAAACCGTTCTCGTTTATACGAACTATGAATGGGTTTTCTCCCCTCGTATACAATAATCTATGTACATCACTTGAGCATGTGCAGGCACAATAGCATGTGCTGGCCAATGACATATCCATAGAAAGTAGCATAAATAACATTATTTTCTAATACTTTCCATTGCAAAGAACTTACGAGTTGATTTATAGAATGTTGTTAAAGTTACTTCGTCTTCTTCTTATCGTTCACTCCAGCAGAAAATTCTGGTCGTTCGTCCATTTCTGGGCTTTGGTCTTGTTCTAGAACGTGAGTTTTGCATGCACATCCGTTTTACCGATTTGGCTTACCTGGGTGTAGACTGTTGGCTTCTCGCCTCACAGGTTGAGGCACTCCAACTTCAAAGGAGACACCAATAATTAGTCAAGTTGACGAATTGTTAGGGAGCAGTGGGTTGTCCCTCCCCCCCCCCCTTCCCACTTTCCCCCTACAAAATGGAGTCCTGAAATCAACAGTGGGAGTTAAATTCACTGATTCCGTCTGAACTGTAAACGCCACTGGAAGCTAGAAAATCACTAAACATGGGAACGAAAGTTAAACGCACTGGAGAACAAATACTTAAGATAATTTGTCAACATTAAATGGAATTATTGATTAAACAAAAACACATAAATGAGAGAAATGTCTGGACATTTACAGGTATCAACAGTTATGAGACAGCTTATTATCATGTAGCAGGTCCTTTGCAGAACGTCGCTCTCATCACGGTCTGCCTGAAAGAAACTCGGTCTCTCGCCGGCTCTCCCGCCTCATGTACTTTCATACTCTAGGAGTCACTTATATCCTGTGCCCATCTTGGTGTTGGTCGGCCCCAGCCGCTCCTTCCTGGTACCATGCCTTCTGCTATTATTTTTTCCAGTCCGTCGTGGCGCTTGATATGACCAAAATATTTCAGCTTCCGAGAAAGGATGCTGTTTGTTAGCCAATCCTCCTCGATGTTCAGATCTTTCAAGATGTCAGTATTCCTCCTCTTCTTTGTCTAAGATATTCTGAGAATCTTTCTATAGCATTTTAGCTCAAAAACCCCTATTCTCTTTTTTAAAGACACGAGACAGCCAAGATAGCGATATATTCAGCACACCCTGGTGAAAAGCGAGCAGAGAATAAGAAAATGGGCGCTTAAATGGGGAAACAAATGCACTGATGAAACAAGGATACCAGAAATGCGACCCTAAGATAAACATTGATAAGAGAGGCCACAGATGTTGGACTGTATTCTGTCTATGATACTGAAATTATTGCACATAATAGAATGGAATGGATGAATAGACTGCCGCCCCAACAGCACAAAATAACGCTGACGATGATGATGGAAGCTGATCGAAGATGATGATAAACATAACTATTAGTTCGACGCAATGTGTCCCATAGTAATTCGTTTTACATCAGTATGGAGATGATAATGACAACATAAATTTAGTAACCAGCAATGAGTTTCTGTATGGAGATGAGAATGACAACAGAAATTTAGTAACCAACAATGAGTTTCTGTATGGAGACGCTAATGAAAACTTAAATTTAGTAACCAACGTTGAGTTTGTGTATGGAGATGCTAATGGCAACATAAATTTAGTAACCAACGACGTTTCTGTATGGAGATGCTAATGGCAATCTAAGTTTAAAAACAAAGTACTCTAGGTATCATCCAGCTATTGAATGAAGGGACGGACTTTCTACTTTTTTTTTGCAGTTCACTGCACTTGGTTCCTGAGAGTTCACAGCGAGCTTTACCATTAAGAAAAATCCAGCTCAAAGCAATAGGCATGAAATGCTTGAGGTAAGGAACCTGAAGAGAATCGATAATTGTTTTCTCGAAAGAGAGAGAAGCTGCAACGAGAGCGACGTGCCCTAAAGCACCTGCTTCATGATGACGTTGATGTAACAAGTTGTAAGGAAATGTAATATTATTCAGAACATGTATACTTATCGTTTTTTTACCTGTAGTTTTTAAAAGGAGTGCAGAGTTATCTTATTTCGCTTTACATAATTATTTCATGACTGGTTTCATTTCTTTCTGACATATATGCTAGTGTGTAATCCATTAAGTATTCAGTATGTGTCGAAATGTCGGACGCAAGCCCCGAGATAACCCAACCTACAGGCTGAAGCAGGTTTTGGGACCTATCCCAGGGGGATCCTCATCCGAATGGTGGCACTTTGTTTACCCAGGTGTTTATCGCTGTTTAACGTCATTATCATTAATCCATTTACTTTATTCTTTCTTTCTCCAGTTTCGCTCCCTCGTGACTACCTGAAGATTTTACATCTTCCGATTACAAAATCTCAAACAGGGTTGCAGAACAAAGTGGGGAATCCTAAATACCTAGTTTAACCCCCAGAGAATTTATAAATGGGGCACTCATAGCAGCTACGTCAGGCTGGTGCAACATGCACTCATATACGGGTAAGGATTATGTTACAAAACCGACTTCAGTGTGTTGGCTACCCAACCAGACTATATACGGTCCTACGTGTTTCAGTGTGAAGGCAATCATCAATCTTATATTAGAATATTATCAACACGGTGATGTTAAAAACTGTTTTATAAAGTCCATCACGGCGATTTATGGCTTCAGTGATGACTGGTATCTGAAATCTTAAGGACAATATCTCGATCTATTGCCCGGCTCGTACGGGTATTAAGGTATGAAAGAAGTGACGTTCTTCTTCAGGGCCGAGCCAGATGTTGCCAAGCCATAGGGAGACAACCCAGGCGCCGGCTTGGTGGTCCGGAAATGAATTCACGGTTATCGATCAGCATTTGCGATCTGCGGCAGCGCGTGGCTAGCACGCCTACCGGGCGCCATGATGGTCACAGATTTGATTCCTCAATGACGTTAAGGGGTTGCAGGGGAAGGGGGGGAGGGGGGGGGGGGTATTCTGAGCTTTTTATCAACCTGATGAGTACAAGAAATTGTACTGGGAAGTAAGGGCAGAGACCTGGTGCTGATCACCTCACCATTGCAGTGCCGAATGGTATATTAATAACAAGACTTTCATAATATGCCAAGTGCACCTGTGAAAGGTGTGGCAATCTGATCTTTAATTTTTATTTACAAAAATTAAAAGGAAAGAAACAGCGTCTTGAAGATATCTTAGACAACATAAAATTTGACAACTGTAGCGACTGGGGCACCCGTTGCAGCTAGATTGTTCTGATGCAACATGAAATCAAGTCCAGGTAAGGATTATGTTACAAAAGAGAAGTCAGTTAACATGCGACGAAACGATGAATGTAAAGCAGACTGTTCATTGACTAGTGTGATACAACAAATACTATGACCAAGAAGCTCTGCAAAAGAAAAAGAAAACAAAGCAAACAAACGCACAGATACAACTGAACATCTCGATCTATATTTCCATCAACGAACGAAACAATAATAACCACAAAACAAAGCTAACGACGGAGAATGAGACATAAAACAGAAATGTTAGAAAAGAGAATAATAACCTCGGTCTTTGCAGTGAATTATGATAAATGTTGTCTATTCAATTTTGAAGACCCCGCCCGACATCCCCTTTGAAACTTCCAACCCCCTCCCCCCTCCACCGTAAAGGATAAGCGAGTAACTTTTAGAATCATCTGAGAATGAAATTCTGCGACAGAAGATTATTGGGTGCTTTATTAATATCCTACCCCAGATGACGTCACAGGACAGTCCAACATTTCAGAGGGTGGTATAAGACTGTGTTTCTCTGCTTTCTGATACTTTTAACAATCCCAAAACATCTAGAACTGGCCCTAACCCAAACCCACCTACGTCCCACGAGAGCGCGCAGCCTAGGTCCCACGACTGCTAGCAACCTAGGTCCCATGACTGCGTGCAACCTATCTACCACCCCGTGAAATATTAGACTGTCCCGAGACCTGTGGATTTCCCCTGTTTGGGCTAGGATATTAATAAAGCACCCATTCTTGACAGCATTATGTCATGACACGAAACGATACCAGCACTAGCTAATGCGTTACTTTGAAAATCTCGAGAAAAGAATAGGTATAATTGTCCACGTAAATCGGCACGTCATATGATGACCATAATCAAAAGTCCAGTAATTCAAAAAATAATCGCTATCAATAAATATTTCTTACCGGGGGTTCATTGCTGCCATTTAGAAGTCCATATTTAACTGACGTGAGTTCGGCCACTCCATTCTGACTGTGACCACTCTTCGGATCGCTGCCGTCCTTGTCTTAATGTTGCAGACATAAGAAATAACATGTGTTAACATTAGGGGCAACAGAACAGGAGAAAACACCAGCATGCTCAACACATAACACAATATTGTCACTGTACTGATGAGTTGTTCTATCATATTTTAGACCTGTTACCAAAAACCAAAAACTGTTTAGTTCAACAAAATAAAATGAAAGCCCCTCTTTAAGACTCGCTTGATCGCCTTTTTAGAGAAGGACAATGTATTACATTCAAACTAAGGGCATGGTACAGCTGACTTCATCATATGTTAAAACTGTTATGTGTAGGAAACTTGGAGACGTGTCCCTGCGGCTTGGCACCAGAAAATAATGAACATGTGCTCCAACGCTGCCAACAGAGACGTTATCTGGCCTGTTTCAACCACAGAAGATAAAGCTGTTTGGTACACAAGAGGATATGGACTGCACGATAGCTTTAATAAAGACTACCGGCCGCCTGATATAAGTTTTCTGACAGAAGATTCGAAAAACAATATTAACATTGTCAGCATTGCTGTCATCATCATCTTCATTTTCATTAACATCGTCATCTTCATTTGCATCCCGATACTCATCATCATACTAATCCTCATCATCCACACCCATCATCATCCACTTTTAAATCGCCCTCATCATACTCATACTCATCATCCTTTTCATCATCAATTTCCACATTTGCTGTTAGGCGACGTGGAGGGAGAGAAACAGTTTGCAATTCATTAGTCGATAGATAACTATGTCTTGTCATTCTGTATCGATGTCAAATATCTTTATTGTCATCATTCCATGTTCAGCGTGTATTTCCTTCTGCTCTCTTCTGTACCTCATCCGCCCCCTCCCCAAGTTGCCATCACTGTTGACATTCCACCACTCCGCAGTACATCTTCCCCATAAACTTTTGTCAGTCTCTGGCTACACGGCTGAACCATGTTTCGGAACTGTTTGTTTCTTATCCTTGAGAAGTTAATCCTGAAGAATGTAAACCTGGAGTAGTAAAACAACTGAAAAATAAAATCTCAGCTTCTAATTCCTTCCTCTTTGTGTTTTTAGGCCCCTCTATTTCTGTTGTTTAGTTTGTTTCAGGTATAAGTGTTTCTTCTTCGTTTTAAAGTCCACGCCGCGTGGCGTTGGTAGTCATGTCTATTCACAACCTTCTGTCTCATGTACTTTTTAAATTAACTCTGACACAGATGATGATACTCGATGACAGGACATCCAACTGTCCAGCATCTTTTCTCTCGGTCTCCATGTGCTCCAGTTTTCTCCTTTGAATCACATGACCAAACAACGTAGATTGTCCCTTTCTGATGTGAGCAATCAATTCTCTTCCTGAATAAGTTTCTTAACGGCTTCTAGATTTGCTATAATAGGGGTTTTCACCCTGTGTTCTCTCCATCACTGGTAATGGGTAGCATGTAAAGTCCTGGGATGTAAATGCGGCCGGCGTGATGTTGACCACATAAAACATTAAGGTGGTCTATACACATATGAGTCTAGCCTCATATGTGCCACTGATGTATAATGAAACCTTTGCTTTAAACAAGCAGACAGACACACACGCGTGAGCGCGCACGCACGCAAACACGCATATACACTTACACACACTAAAGAATTCTATAAGTAGCTCCCTGTGCGGGTTTCGGGGCGCCACTGTGAGAAAAACAAGAATAGACCCACTGCCTTCAGTACAAGCGTGTCGTAACAGTCGACTAATTCAGGGTTTTCTTCGAAGTCGGAGTGCATCTACATCAGAGGTATGATACCAACAGTCTGCATACAAGAAAGTCAGAAAATGGATGTGCATGCAAAACCCAGGTTCTGGAACAAGTCTCAAGTCCAGAAGTGGGTGAAAAACCAGAACTTTCCATCGGACTTTACAGCCGGTGAATGTGAAGAAGAAGAAGAAGCTAAAAGCAGCTTCTCTATGGCATCTGTCTGTATATTGCTGAAAAAAATGATGGAATGGTGTTGTGTGCAATATATTGGTATATGAAAGGGAAGTTCATTAATAAACGTAAAACCTGGTGCGGTGCAGTACAAGATAAAACGGGATGTGGAGAGAGAGAGAGAGAGAGAGAGAGAGAGAGAGAGAGAGAGAGAGAGGGAGAGAGAGAGAGACCGTTGGTTCCACGACTCTGGAGAGGAGGGACGTGTGTACGTATGATCTAGTCTGGGTGTTGCCAGGCTAGACTTGAGCACTATGTGTCACGCTGGGTAACGGAATACAGTGTCCAGGGTATTGTGACAGGCCGAAGACGAGAGGTCTGTATAGTTTTCCCAAAGATGTGCATCGGTCTGGGAGATCTTTAGCAACAGCCGCCTCAACATACAGAAGTCGTTGGAATGACAGGCACGGTAATCACGAAAGTGGATGTGTGCGATCAGGTACTGATTGACCGTAACAATCATTGGAGATAGTGTGACGGAAGAAATCCTTCGGAGCAACGTCCTGCATGCATACCTGTGTAGGATGAAGAATGACTGTATTACTGTATTAAGCGTATCTTGTGATGCAATCCGTTTGAATGATATCTGAATATATTGTTGACTTTGACCTGTATTCGGAGTTCCATGTTATTGTTGAGCTGAAGTTGTGACTGGTAAAAGTGACATTATTGAGTTACCCCCTAGACTCTTGGCAAGTGTGCGAGGCATCTTGCTATCTAGGGATATTCCTCCAGCGAACTTCGCACGCGTCAAAGCAACGGCTTGAAAGGTAAAGTAAACAGTCCATGACCAGGGAAGCTCATGAGTAACTGAGAGGAACACTTCTTCCACACTGTTGCTGTTTCTGTCATCACCCATAATAACCATGCGCGTTCTTAACGTTCAGCGACCAGCACGAGGCAAGCCAAGCACCAGCAACAGTCAGCTAGTACCCTTCAATATCACCGCAAAGAGATCTGGAACACACCAGAACCCAAAACCGCAAACAACGCAGCACAGCAAGGAAGCAAACAACCATAATATCAGGTGTGACTACACACCACAAATAAAAGGAAACCATATAAGACAGCAAAGGACCCTTCTTCGATATAGCAGGCCTCCGGGCGGCTGAAAGAGGATCAAGTTTGGAATTTTTCTTGGACAACTGGCATTGGCATTGGTAACGGGCATACTTGCGCTTACACACATACACACGTACATACATAGATTCAGACATACATAAAATATTTATTTATACATACTCACATAAAATACATGTGTGTGTGTATGGGTATAAATACATAATATAATGACTCATACAAAAACATATGAGTGTGTGTGTGTGTGTGTGTGTGTGTGTTTGTATGTGTCACATACTATGATCTAACTTCAAGATCATTCTGTTGTGTTTGTATAATTATTGTCTGTGCCACCAGGGAACCGATATGCTTTCAACTAAATTTGCTAAAGATTGCATTGTTTAATGTTGCAGTAACTCCAATATGGTTGAATGGCCATTTCAGCCGCAGACTTGCCAAGAAGAGAAGATCAGTTGTCAATAAACTCTTAATGTACCCTTTTGTTTGTTTTGTAAACATTTTACTTTATAGTTTAAATTTTACTTGTGAATTAGGTTAATTTTATTATTGCTCCTTTTCTGAGTTTGATTTCGTTATAATATTTGTAAAGTGTAACCTGCCACTGACAGTGAGCACTTATACAAATTCGCGCGCGCGCGTGTGTGTGTGTGTATCCGTGTGTGTGCGTTTATTTGCAGGGAAGGAGGAAGGAATAAAGCATGACTTGAAATAAAGTAAAAAAAAAATCAAACCAATCATTTAATATCTAACTTCCCTACCCCCGTTTAGGACATTATTTAGAGCGAAATATTTAAATAACCTGCATTATGTGACATATTTCAAGGAAAAAATTATTAATAGGCAATTAATTCATGAACACTTGTTTAAATCTAACACCTGTAATATCTTAAAGGACAAAAATACGCTTAAGACGGCTGATGAGGCTAATTCAGTGAATATGTTAACGAAGCAAAAGTCTCAAGTCTTTGAAAAAGTAGAACAATTATTGTTAGCCACCGAGCCAACATTCAAAAGAACCTTCATAAATGTCAACACGGTTAAAGTTAAAATTAGTTCTATGCTGGGAGTTGGGCCACTGGCCATTTTCACTATCAACATTTTGGCCTAGAACACAGGTTCTCAACCTGTGGGTCGCGACCCTTTTGTGGGTCGAGCGACCATCTCACAGGGGTCGCCTAAGACCATGCGAAAATACATTTTTACTGAAGTTATGAAGTAGCAACGAAAATAATTATATTGTTCGGGGTCGCCACAACATGAGGAACTGTATTAAAGGGTCGTGGCATTAAAACGTTTAAGAACCACTCGTCTAGAACTTAGTTGAATAGCCCAATCTTAACCTATCCGTAAACAGTTTCTCTCTATCAATATTCCCCTCCTGATTTTCCGCTCTACACAACACCACCCATCACTGTACCCCTTCTGTATTACCTCAATCCATCTCAGTAACTGTATCAATGATGTCTGGCTTGCACACATATCTTTGTTAAAGTAGAAGCTGACCTCGACCTGTAAACAACAAGGGAATAAAAATGCGGGTGATTTAAACAGGAAGCAGGGGGAAGCCAAGGGATACCTATGGAATCAGGCGGGACATCTGTCAACTCAAGCGGATGGCCACCAGTGGCCAGCGTCTTACTTGGTGCAGCGTTGGACTTGTAGTCCAGCTGAGTCATGATAAGGAAGAAGATGATGTACCAGGAGCCATAGACGATCATGACAACCAAACCTTTGTCGGCGTCCAGGAGAGCTTTAGGCATATACAGGCCTAGGACAATCGTCACTCCTGCAATATCGAATATTTTAATAGACATTTAGTAGAAGTTATTTTTGTACTATTAATATTTGTAAATACAAATACGATTTCTTGTGTACACATAGTAATCATATAAAAGTAAAAAAGTAAAGATCCCTTTCACGCCTTTAGGCGTATCGGGCAAATGGGAAGAGCGCCCATATTTTTACAGACCCATCAGCACTCGGAGGGGGCTGTCTTTACTTTCCCAGGACATCCTTGTACCCATTTGAAGCTGGGTCGACTTGCGACGTCCCATACCACGATAAAAATCCACGCAGCCCGCAGTGGGTTTCGATCGCGGTACGTTGGATTGTGAGTCGGACTCGCAACGCCTTAGCCACGGACGCCCATGTCTGTATAATAATACTGCTAATAGTTTTAATGGAATTTGGATAGTGAATCCATGCATGACAAAATAGATGATATTAATACTAATCGTTTGAGAGCCGCTGTGGGGTAACAGCTAGACGCTCGCCTGCGGATCTGAAGATAAAGTAAAAGTAGTATTAAAGGACCCTTTTCCACGCCTTTAGGCGGATAGGGCATATAGGGCTAGACCTATATTTTTATAGACCAATCGGCACAAAATAGATGATGTGGTCAGCATCAAACTGGCCGCCTTTACTTCCCGGGAATGCACCCCGTACCCACTCAAGGCTGGGTCGACCTGGGAGTCAAAGTCATTTCTGAAAAAGTCCGGCTCCGCCAGGGGGATCTGAAGGGCGTGGGTTTAAATAAGCATGCTGCTGGTTGTTTTTCATACATGATTTTGGCCGTCAGGTAGACACAGCCTAACTGGCTATCATGTTAAGTCCTGGGAATTAAAGGCAGCCGGCGTGATGTTGACTACATCACCCATGAAGGTCTATTAAATTATGAGTCCAGCCTCATGTACCAGATGCCTCAGCGGCGTGAAAAGATAGCTTTACTTTTACTTACTAATAGTTTAATAGCTCTAAGGCTAGTGAATCCATGCATGACAACACGTATATTGTCACATCCCGTTGGCATCAAATGAATACTGCGGAAGATCGAATAGATCATTTTTGTCTGAAGAGAATGATGAAGCCTTCAGTGACCAGAGTATCTGAGTGACTTTCCGTTGCTTTGCTAAACAAAAAATCGTAACTTTCAACCAGCATCCCCGAAGCGGAGACAGACCCAAATAGTGTCCTAACTGGCGACGAAGTCGTCTCCCGGCCATGCAATAGGCGATCCAGAGGCCGATACTGAACGACACTCAACACTCAGAGAAAAAGCAAGACGAACATGAAAACAGCTCCATGCTGCCTGCTGAAGATGAGGACACCGCTCTTTCGGAAACATTCCGGGTATCGTGTTGTCAGTTCTTAATCAGGCTCATGGAAGCACTGAGGGAATGATGTTGCTGAATGTTAAGTTAATAAAAGCAAAGATAGGAGTGTGATACTTTAAGGAAATCAATGCTAGAAGGAAAGTTGGAGGGTAACCGTGCAACTGTAAGGCAGCGAACGAAATAGGAAGTCATACAGAGATTGTATAGCAGTTGGAAGATTCTGCAGATACGGTAGAATTGAATCTCCATGGCAATATATCAAGGAATGGGGAGATTGTAGAGACATGACTTGAGTGTCTAGACATGGCGATACTGATAGATGCAGCAAGATTGTATAGACATGACACCATTTTACACAAATGACAGGATTGTATAGGCATAGAATGATTGTACAGATATCTTAAGATTGCACAGACATGACAAAATTGTATAGATTTGGCAGGCTTGATCGACATTTGAGCATGTCCTGTATTGTCTCAAGTAATTGCCATCATAGCTGTCATCATATTACTCCTCGATAGTTATGTTGCTTTCTGTTTGTTTCTCAGGATCCTGCTTGTGCGGGAAAGAAAAATCCCCAGTAACTACCTAGAGTAGATTTTTAGCACCTTCTCGTCTTTCCAGCATTATATTGGGGTATGCAAATCAAGGATTACAAGTGATTTACTTACGTGGCGTCGTGAAGTGATCCAACCCACCCCTACACACTCGACTATTCGTGACGTTAACGCCCCTAACAGGCAGGTCACATTTCAAATATAGACCCGTCCGATGGGTATATAGTCCCTCATTTCTATTTATACCTTTATCTGGCGTAATAGGTATTTCTATATACTCTAGTTGTCTTGAAAAGTCTACATTTTCAAACGTACAATTGTCGAATAGATATTTTCCAGATAAAAGGTAATTCCGAGTAGCCTTTTTACTCCTCGGCGTACTGATTTGAGAGGTACTTCCTTGAATAGAGTTCCGCTTCATTTTCTGTCTGACTGCCAAGAAGAACTGATGTTCCTGAATGTGCCTCGAGTATCTGTTGTGTCTAGGAAATTTCATAAAGCTTGAGTAAGTTGATTATAGTTTACGAGTACCATGATATATGTCTTTATAAAGTTAACCGCTGCTACAGCTATGAGACAGCGCAGAACTAGACCATTCTTGGTGTCCAAGTACTCGCAGCCACTTAAACCAAACCTTTTCCTTAGCAAGCTGATAGTTTGTGCCCTACCTGACCCAATATTATTGCAAATAATTTAATCTAGCAGGCGATCTTTCTCTAACTTGTAGAGATCAGGTCGACAGTTAAGCCCTCAGATTTAACTGGGTCAAAGTACAGCGAGCGAGACGCTGTGACGTCAGAGGTTATTTTTAGCAGACACATCAATACGGGGTACATTCATGGCAAGCGGTGGAGTATAATATATATGTGAAAAAGAGATGGGGTGTGTCTATAAGTACAGATGTGAATGTGGAGAGATGATTTCCTATGTGTATTAGTGTCTATCTGTCTTCACTGTGAAACTTGTTTCCTATCTCTTGTACTGACTGATAGACAGAGATAAATGAAGATTGAACTGTTTTATTATCCTGAGAGTTATCCTCTGAGTGACTGAGAAGGGTGGAGTGAAATAAATTGAGCTAGGTATGCGACTCCTGAGATATATACCAATTCTAAGTTCCTTCCTGACACAGGATGATACCTCCCTGGAAGTCAGGCAGACGATCAACAGTCCAACCAACCACCATCCACTAAGAGTGCCTAATACCACCACAACTTCAACCTGGCAGGAGCTTGTTTTGACTCCAGTGGCTAAGAGACAGTTGTTGTAGGCCATCCATTTGTCATCACTCAAGGAGATCCTTCTTCAGGAGCTTTTTTGGGCTCCAGTAGCTAAAAGACTGTTGTTGCAGGCCACCCATTAGTTGTCCATCAAGGGGAACCTTCTTCAGGAGCTTGGTTGAGCTCCAGTATACTAACTCTGACGGTGTTTACCAGGGCAACCAGGAAAAGAAGCAGTCTACCCAAATCAGCCTGTTCAGATCACCATGGACTGAGAAAAGCAGTGGCATCCACCACACTTGGATAAGTACATCAGTGATCATATACCTCATGCTCTTTTTACAGGTCCACCTGGAGCCATGATGATGATCACCGACACTCTCATAGACTGACTCTGGCTGATTAAGCAGTACCTTCTGGACTTTGATTCCTGGGCTCCATTTGCCCGAGAACCTCTTAGATTGTCTTGATAAATATTTGTGTTGCATTTATTACATGCCTTTGGAAGCTTTCATTACTGACTTGGGTGTCCCTGTTTCACTGTTCAAACTGTCTAGCATTTATGTATGTGTAACCATTAATCTTAATCTGTGTTAACATGGCTGTGGTATTACAATATCATAGCCTGGGGGCTATCTTTTTATAGTAGTGGTGACGTCCAGCCAAGTTGCGCCTAGGAATATTATATATTCTGTAGTGCCATAGCTTGAGTTGCCCTACTCCTGAAATAGGTTGGGTGTATATTGGCCACGGGATACCCTTTAGACCAATACGAGCCGACACATCAACATATTCTATTTCAGAGTGCTGTTGGTTCTTAAAGAGAAATCCTTAAAACAGGCACACGACACGAGCGGTATGTGACACGTGGTTTCAGTGACCCCAAGAGGTTTTCAGCAACTATTGTAGATGTATGTACTAATGACTGGAATATCAACATATTTGGAGTTTTCTAAAAGATCCGTTAAACGTGTGTTAAGAAACCGCATATTGAAAAAAAGAACATAGGAAACAGGACTTGCCTCCCAGTATATGGGCTGATGTTCCCACACACCAGTGAGCCCAGTTGAAGAGCTCCCTCTGTGGATGGTCAGGGGCGCAACGTAATAACGACATGAAGGGCTGGTGATTTTACACAAGTGTTCATTTGTTAGCAAAGCGATATCAGGAATCAGTTTATGCACGCACGCACACAAACACACGTACACATAAACACGCATACAGACGCATGCACACTCACGCACACACACAAACACGAACGCACACACATACATAATGAATGATTTTCAAAGGATACTTTCAGATGTGCTGCACAACCAGAAACACAATGGCCAGATAAAGAGCGAATGACAGGCAGATATAAATATTTCAGATTAAAGTAAAGATACGCTACCATATGTATTGGATTTTAAAATGCATTTTTCTTAGAATGAACTAGTAATTTAAATAATCATGTAAAGCACATATCTGCCCAGACCACACTAAAAGCGTCTGGCCGAACCGTTAAAAACACAGGGCTGGCATGTAGTAGACTCAGGTTCGAACCATCGCTAGGTTCGCGACCCCAGATGGGATCGCGACTACTAGGTTGCGAACCCGTGCTGTGCGGAGATGTCAGTAACTTCAAGCTGACTGCTTATTTTGCGAGGGAAAAGAACAGACCACTGCCCTCTAACAAACATGTCCCCAAATACGACTAATTTAAGATGTTCCCAAATGTTGAATGTTTAATGCTGAATTAGGAATCGAAATCTCAGTACTCAGGACATCCCCATAAGCGCCCCGTACCAATCTTCAGCAGCAAGCGAAAAGTTTAAATTCCGATGGTGCCAGTAACTGTCTGACTGTATATCCGTCTCGCCTTTCCCCTTAGTGTTGAGCGTAGGTCAGACCCTGTTGTAACTCCTAGCAGTACAATTCTCCTCAGACCGTAATGATCTATCTGTGCCCCGGCACTGTTCACTCGCTCCCATAGGGCCCTCATAACATCCAGCTTGTCATATATCAGTTCAACACCAAGTAGTGCAGAACCGAACAGTCTATCTGCTTGCTCATTTCCCAACACACCGGTATGACCTGAATGTTTCCATTGAAGTCAGAGGGAATTCTGAGAGGCGAGGAAGCAACAGTATACATATAAGTAGACCTTATATGTAAGACGATGTGCATGAAAAACTGAAGTACACCAACAAGACCAGCGTCCAGAAGTGGACCAAAAAAACAATGTACACCAACACCAACAAAAGACAAACAGACACTTTCCACTGGAATTTACAGTTGGTGAAATCCAAGAGCAAGAAGAGGAGATGCTCTCTTCAAACATATCTCTGTTACATCTCTAAAGGTGTCCACTAGTATATTTTTTAAAACTAAAATTCAAAATAAGAATTCGCAATATATTATGATATAAATTTAGCAATTACATATTAACAATAAGTGAAATATTATTCATCATGTTAGAGGTAAGAAATTTAGTAAGAAATAACATACATTGATAAAGAGTAGAGCAGTGACCATGATCCCAAGTACCGGATGCGCTTTCATGTAGGCCGGACCACTTGTCTGGTAGAAAAGTTAATAAATAGTATAAAAAGTTGGCTTGACAAACATAAATATCAACACCAAAAGAAATTGTCGTCAATGTAACATTTCGTGACAAATTTAAATATTACCACAAACAGAAAGTGCAGTCAGTGTAAGGTTACATGACATATAAATATCATCAGAAAGTACTGTCAGTGTAAGGTTTTATGGCAATATAAGTATCACCACAAACTAAAATGGAGGTAAGTGTAAGGATACAAGACAATATAAATATCACCACAAACAGAAAGGGAGGTCAGTGTAAGGTTATATGACACATATAAATATCACCACACAGTACTGCCAGTGTATGGTTTTATGATTGTAAAAATATCACCACAAAGTACTGTCAGTGTAAGGTTTTATGATTACAGAATGTCACCAGAAACAGAATGGGAGTCGGTGTAGGGTTACATGACAAATATAAATATCACCACAAACAGAAACTGCAATATACTGAATAGCTGTAATGAAAACATTCTTGCTAGACTACTCCCTCCAAATTTAAACGATCAGTTGCTCAATTTGAGCATATACTCCAACGCTATAAGCTGTATGCTGCAAACAGAGAGGCCAACTGGTCTACTCTAACCTGTCAAAATAAAGCCGTTATGGTAGGCCGTTCAAATAATTCGGTATAGTATATATGGGGAGATTCGCACCGCGTGATATCTTTCATCAATGCTACCTGCCTCCTGATATAAGGTTTTAGATACAGGAGTCGGAGACAAAAAAGAAGATCGACCCTAGAGTCGCACTGGCTCTAAAAATTCCACTACTTCTGAGGATTGAACCCAGGCCCCTGTCTCCACAGGCAAGCTTTCTAACCAATAGACCACTGCGGCTGGTCTGCATGAATCAGAACAGTGAACAATAAGTGATTACACGATAAAGAAAGTGAATCAGGGGTGACTATATATCTGTGTTTGTGTGCGTGTGTGTGTGTGCGCGCGCGCGCGTGTGTGTGTGTGTGTGTGTGTGTGTGTGTGTGTTATAAGCTAAGCAGGTTTTTTTCCGGCTGAATACAGTACAGGTACCTTTTGTTGTTTTTTTTCAACTTAGGTGTAATTTTTTTTTTTCCATTACTACTCTGACAGACACTTTGTGGTCAGTACTGGCACCTTTTTAGATACTTTGTAGTGGGTACTGGCACTTCTTTCTTTTGAGCAACTAACCGGGTTAAAAAAATGTTGAAAATATCGTAGACATAAATTATGAAACAACAATTTGTTGGGAGTTGCAAACCGAAGAAGCTGACACGTGCAACAACGGAAAAATTAAATGTATGAGATGTATCAATACTAGAGTAAACAAACAGTAAATTATAGTCTGTTTCATTTACAAATCTGTAACTCAGTAAACAGGTAACCTGTTGAAATTGGGCACACAGCCTGTGAGCAATCATGTCTATGCAATCAATCAAAATAATGTAAACAACATCTAGTTTTCATTTTGCCCTATTTGTGGCAAATGGCGAAAAATAAAAAGTCACCGATTTCAAAGCAAGCAATCAGCATCGAGTAACGTCACACTGCCAATGTTACCTAAGCGTTTCACTCTAATATGATAATCTACAGCATGAGCCTCCTGTTGATTGTTTTTTTAATTGTATGCGGGATAAGTTATCAAGTTAATCACCATGCATCGCTGCACATGTGTAAACTTATTTCCAAACAATCAGGACCCGTGTATAAAAAGCTGTATACTGTATTTTTTGGGGGTACATACATTATTTGTCAAAGATCAAAGAAAATCTCTGTTTTGAGAAAACTGAAGCACTTACACAATTGTAAAATATAAATCATATGATGATTGGAAATCTAAGGTCACATGCACACATTCGTATTGATCTGTACAGAAGTCTTCGAGATATATGTTAAAGTGTGAGGCCAAAACTTCTGAAACTCGAGATATTTGTTAATATGTGAGGCCAAAACTTCTGAAACTCGAGATAAATGTTAAAGTGTGAAGCCGAAACTTCTGAAACTCGAGATATTTGTTAAAGTGTGAGGCCAAAACAAAACTTCTGAAACTTGAGATATTTGTTAAAGTGTGAGGCCAAAACTTCTGAAACTCGAGATATTTGTTAAAGTGTGAGGCCAAAACTTCTGAAACTTGAGATATTTGTTAAATTGTGAGGGCACAATTTCTGAAATTTGAGATATTTGTTAAAGCGTGAGGCTAAAACTTCTGAAACTCGAGATATTGATTAAAGTGTGAGGCCAAAACTTCTGAAACTCGAGATATTTGTTAAAGTGTCAGGGCAAAACTTCTAAAACACACCTTAGTACAGTTTGGGAATGTGTTAGTTAACTGAGAGATCATTTTGATAGTTTTTTAGATTAAAACGAAGCTCCAAAATACGCTCGTTTCGAGAATATATGAACATGAATAGATCCAAGAATATAATTAATCGAAGAATTTGAATGTATACAGAATAAGGATGTACGAAAAACAAAAATAATTTAGGAAAATGAAAATACGAAGCGAAAAAATATTTGAAAACAAAAGAATATCAAGAACATGAAAACAAGACCATCGTGAATACTCGAAAATTAAGGAATACGCCAAGAAAAAGAAAATGTGAAGAACATTAATAAGTGGAGAACACAGACTAATAAATACCATAAAGGTATGAAAAACATTAAAAGGTGAAGAACAAAATATTTGGAGGTCATTATAGGAATTTGAGAAGAACAGCCATTTGTGAAGAACACGAATATCTGAAGAATACAAATATGCGGAGATGATTAGTATGTTAGGAACATGAATATATAATGATCACACATATATGAAGATCACAAATATATGAAGATCACAAATATATGAAGATCACAAATATATGAAGATCACAAATATATGAAGATCACAAATATATGAAGATCATAAATATACGAAGACCACAAATATATGAAAAACGGGAATGTGTGATGAACATAAATATGTGAACAATAATCTACAAAGTGCTCGAATGTGTGAAGAAAACGAAAAAATAAAAAATAATTATAAGTGAATTTAAAAAGAATGTACACATGAAATAAGGTAATAAAAGAAGACCAGGAATAAACAAGTAACAAGAGTATAAGATGAACAGGAATGTATGCGACAAAACTCCAAGAACATTCAGTAGTCAAAATGACTTACCTCACTATAGCCTTTGACTTGGATGAAGATCAAAATGAAAGCCGTGATTCCAAGGACAAAAGCTGCAACCATGGCCACTCTATGAACCTAGAAGGAGATGGTTCATGGTGTATGCTGAGTTCACAAAATGTTCGAACGTTTTAAATATTATATACTGAATGCAATATGTTACAGTGTATATATGCCAAAAAGCTTAAAGCATATATATATATATATATATATATATATATATATATATATATATATAAAACTGGCGTGATGCTCAAAACATCTCCCGCTTAGTGCCGATTAGTCTATAAAAACGTAGGTCTAGCCCTGTGTGTCTAATACACCTGAAGACATGGAAAAGGTCCGTTACTTCTTATATATTAAAGCTCATAATATATATATATATATATATATATATATATATATATATATATATATATATATATATATATATATATATATATATATATATGCAAGCTTAAAATCTTATATATGTTTATATATATATATATATATATATATATATATATATATATATATATATATATATATATATACTAGCTGTACCCGGCCACGCGTTGCTGTGGCGTAATTTGAGATAGTCTTTGATCCCCACCCCCACCCCCACCCCCACAACTAAATCCACCTACTAACCTCTCCCTCATCAAAGGGTTTTTAGAAAAGAAAAGACAATGGAAATCACACCTGTCTAATGAAGTTAATGACGCAGTCAATGTCTGCGCCGACGTCGAGATAGTCCTTGATTGCCCCCCCCCCCCCTCCCATCGAAGGTTGTTTGAAAAAAAAAAAAAATCGCGCAATAGACAGAAAATAGAAATCGTGTTTAATATGGTTATTGTGGCAAATATAGAGATAGTCTTGTTTGCGGTACCTCGACCTACTCTATGTATTAAGGCGTTGGCTGCACGTAACTCGCCGGCGAATGGCAGAAACATTGCGTTCTGACTACGGCGGCGCATGCGCAATTACTAACGTGACTATAATTAGAAATCACTAAAGTTATAAATATTAGTTGCGAATATTATGGCATAAATTGTGGTCACCTATCTCTAACAGTGACAGGTTGGATTTCAAACCACGATGGTTCAAAATCCGGTATCAAAACAAACATATCCTGAAAATTTCAGCTAAATCGGTTCAGTAGTTTCCGAGTCTATAGGAAACACACAAACACAAGCACATGATATTTTTATATATATAAATTGTCTGGTTTTCCAACTTTAGAACACGCACAATATAATTGTGTCTTTATATTAGTGGTCGTTTAAATGGTGTTATTAGCACGGTAACAAAAGTGGTTATTTGGTTATCACATGCTAAAGCTGTTTGTATTTTTATAGGAGACGGAAGTAAAGCTACAACTGTACTTGTGAATAACAAAGTAAGTCGTAAAAAATAGAAAAGCGGAGGTAGCGTTAGTAAAATATAAACAAATTAGGTAATGAGAACTTGAAAATCAAGTGTAAAGCTCTTTAATTTCTCTTTAAGTCATTACCCCCTCCCCTCTTCCACCGACTACTGCTCTCTCCCTCTTCGAAGGATTTGAAAATCACTAACTGGCGATATTTTGTTGTTGCTGTAACTGACATTGACATCCCGGTCCATCTGGACTAAAATAGGAAGCAGGAATTGTAAAAGGTAGTGAATAGGGCTAGTGTAATATTTACCACATCATCCTTTAAGTACCAGTACAACTACTAAAATAATGTCACTGCTATCGGTGTTACCATCGGAGTAGACAGAGAGTCGTGAGCCAGAAGATTTGGTTCCGCATGGCTAGTGCTGTCGCCACAGACTGGTCAGGTTAGGATGTATAATTTCACTTGCCGACAGAAGAACGCCATAACCTTACCGGCGGTCTTCACGTGACTTAAAGCTCTCTCAGTAAATAGTTTGCCCCCCCCCCCCCCCCCCCAAATTCACCGACAACTCTTTCCCTCATTGAAGTAGTTGGGAGAAAAAAAAAAAAACTTGAAAAGCAAACGAACCCAGGAAAAAAAACACCATAATTAGGAAATGAACGCCATTGTAAACAGCACAGCTTAAAATTCCAACGCAGATGAAATAACTAAATCTAATTGAAAATCTATAAAATTTCAGCGTAATCATGCAATCGGAAAGTTTAACAATGCAATCATAAGTATGCGAAATGGTCAAATTTAATTATCAAATGGTTTACCCATTTACTGGTTCTAGTGCTGTCACCACGACAGAGCAGATGAGGATATTTTTTTAGTCCGGGGTAAAAAAAAAATTTTACGACTGCGGATTCGAACCCAGGTCTACCGCACATGAACCCAGTGTTCTAACCATTCGACCAAGCAGCCACTTAATCGGAACAACGAAAAGAGAACTCAACTATTAAACATGTGAGTCCCTACTACTGTGTCGCGATGAAAACACAATTCAAAACCGCAGGCAATTGTTTTCTCGTAGACAGTTACTCCAGATATATTAATGAAATAGAAATCGCACGTGTCTAACACGGTTAATGTCGCAGTCACTGTCGACGTCGAGAAAGTCCTTGATTGCCCCCCCCCCCCCCACCCCCCCCCCCCCATTGAAGGTTGTTTGAAAAAAAACCAGAAAAAAGAAATCGTGTTTAATATGGTTATTGTGGCAAATATAGAGATAGTCTTGTTTGCTGTACCACGACCTACTCTAAGTATTAGTATTAGAGAAGGCTTTGGCTGCACGTAACTCGCCGGCGAATGGTAAATACGGCGCATGCGCAATTACTAACGTGGCTATAATTAGAAATCACTAAAGTTATAAATATTAGTTGCGTATATTTTGGCATAAATTGTGGTCACCTATCTCTAACAGTGACAGGTTGAATTTCAAACCGCGACAGTTCAAAATCCGGTATCACAACAAACATATCCTGAAAATTTCAGCTAAATCGGTTCAGTAGTTTCCGAGTCTATAGGGGTGAAACAAACACACAAACATTGATTTATATATATATATATATATATATATATATATATATATATATATATATATATATATATATATATATATATATATATATATATATATATATAAATGCAAGCTTAAAATCTTATATATGTTTATAGCAGCACACCTAATACTTATGACTGCAACATCGGTCATGAAATCCCATGCTCTAATTGTAAATGACATTTCTAAACCCGGGCAGCGGGTCTTACTAGTCATACTCCATCGCCACGGGCTGTCGTTCCTATGCTTTCCAATGGCACAGTACAACATTAGGTCTAGAAAGACGGAAAGGCGCCAACGGTATACGTCAAAATGGGAGATATGGCGTGCGCCAGTAACTCTAACACGTACAACAAAAAGGTAATAACTCGTAATAGGTAACTGCCGCCAAATTAGCATATGGTGTTGGACGCAATTTTGTATAGTTTATTCGGCATTATGTAGATGATGTGGTCACTATCATTCGGTATTAAATAGATGATGTTGTCACCATATTTCGGCATTAAGTAGATGATGTGGTCACCATCATTCATTATTAAGTAGATTATGTGGTCACCATCATTCGGCATTAAGTAGATGACGTGGTCACCATCATTCGGCATTAAGTAGATGATGTGGTCACCATCATTCGGGCATTAAGTAGATGACGTAGTCACCATCATTCGGCATTAAGTGGATGATGTGGTCACCATCATTCATTATTAAGTAGATTATGTGGTCACCATCATTCGGCATTAAGTAGATGACGTGGTCACTATCATTCGACATAAAGTAGATGACGTGGTCACCATCACGCTAGCAGTGCCTACTCTCAGGACGCTACCTTGTTACTCATTCAAATCTGTGTCGACGTGGACGCCAAAGTCTCTTTATTAAAATCTATTTTGATACTGAATCGAACTCAGGAATTTCTAAAGTTCTTCTATGAGTGTCAAGGAATGACTCGCCACTACACAAAATCGTCGAGTCGGGACCTGGTATTCCCCCCCCCCTCCCCCCCCCCTCGACAACAATTTCAAACTTGGACCCGTCCGGAAAGGTATATAGTCCCTTATATTGATCTATACCTTTATCGGATAAAATAATAATGTCTACACCTTCTAGTTGCTTTGACTTATCGTCATTTTTAAATTTGCTACTGTAATTTGATTATTTCTAGGGTTATTTGTATATTCCTGGAAACCGGTTTACTCCTTGCTCATTTGTACAAGGAACTTCTTCTAACTGACGCCTAGCTTGAGTTAGTGCGGGCATTCTTCTGCCGGCATTCCTAGAGACCAGAGATATTCATCGACACCTAAAAAATTCATACTTTGAGAAGGCGGCCTGTAGTGTCTATGACATTTCCTATGCTTGGGTAAGTTAATCATAGTTTACGAGTACCTCAAATGATGTCTGGTTAAAAAGGTCACTGCTGTAAATATACCGGCCTCGGCTATGTGATAGCACATAGTTCGACCGTTCTGGATCTCCAGAGAACCGGATCCGAACCTTACACCTTCTTCTGTACAGACTTAATAGTTTGTGCCCTAAATAACTCGCACCAGTAGTAAAGATATTGAACCTACAAGTGTTTACCATTTAAACTAACAACAGAAGTTTGTGCAATACTAATGGGGACGGAGAATGTAGGTCAGATACTTGGCAGCGCGCGCGTTGCTTTGAGTGTGTTTGACACAGATCAATGAGTGTATACTGAATGGCCTGAGAGTCGAAGGAGATAGGGGTATTGACTGTAAACATTGGTGTCTGTGTGCAGATGGGAGGGGGGGGGGAGAGATTGATATACGTGTGATAGTGTCTATCTATCTCCACTATATATATCTGACTTTCCATCTCTTGCACTAAACAGACAGATAAATATAGGAGACATTGTCTCCTGGTCTTGAGAGTACACTCTGAGGAATGTAAAAGGGGAGCAGAGGTGGAGTAGGCTGATGTGGGATGGAAACTGATTGCTTATTCTGAGTCTTTCCTGTCAAGATGATACCCTCTTGGTAATTACTAATTCTGAGTTCTTTCCTGACAGGATGAAACCTCTGTAAAGAGCAGGCAGATTAATCACAGTCCTACCAACATCCACCAACCAACTATCCACCAGCTAACACCAGTAAATGTACCTGGCATCATCATGGTGTGCCATATACACCAACACCTTAACAGGGCCAGAGTGTGTGAGTGAGCTCCAGAGCAGGTGAACATTTGCAGAGAGTATTCCCATACTCGAGTGTACCAGTATTCAGGAGCTTGGTGGAGCTCAGAGACAGAGTTGTGACCTGACCTGTGGGAGAGACTTGCTGAGTCCCTATACAGTTCCTGTGTCCTCGATGGTGATGTACTCCTCTATGAACAGATCCACTTGAGGCAGAACTACCAGAGTCAACTACAGTCGACTCACCATGGACTGAGGGGAGCATCAACAATAGAACTCTGATAAGTACCAGTGTTTGTGTTATTATCATGCTCTATTCTCCACAGCTCCACAGTATTCCAGGGATGATACTGTGTTGCTAATCAAGACCTTCTGGCTGTTTCAATATCTGAGTCGTTGCTCTGAGTTCTGATCCTACAAACATTCTAAACATTATTCTTTTATTGATGTAAAGAAGTTGAATTGATTACATGCATTCATTTTCATGGCTGACTTAGGTGTCTCTATTTCACCTTACTAAGTGTTTATCGTTGATGTGTGTATGTATAATAAGTATTATATGTGTTAACATGGTTATGATAGTAAACTATCATAGCCTGGGGGCTTTCTTTTTATAGTAGTGGGGGTGTCCAGCAAAGTGTGCCTAGGAATATTGTATTCATATAGATATATATTTTGTAGTGCCAAAACTTGAGTTGCCCTACTCCAGAAATAAGTTGAGCGTATATTGGCCACGGGGCATCCCTTAGACCAATACGAGCCAAACGACTCAACATAATTATTTCTCAGTACTGTTGGTTCTGAAGGAGAAATCCTTAAATCAGGCACGTGACAGGAGTGATATGTGACAATCAGTTACTGGTTAAAATTCAGCTGTGAATAATTGCTTCAAGTAATATTCCAGTCATTCTCCCATCTAGTCATTTCAGATAAGACGGCCATATGCCCCTGTTAAGAATACGGCCCTCCACTGATTCATTCAGCATGATATCCATCGGAATCTAAACGGGCCAGATCTGTTATCTCTCTACTGTATGCAGAATTGGCTGGTCTGTTAACTAATCCACAGATTTCTTTGATCTTGTATAGTGCTTGCAATGCCAACAAGTGCAAAGAATGAATAACATGCCTTCCCATTTGTACATTGGGAATATTACCATTCTCGTAAATATGAAAACTGCTAACTTGCCAGGTAAACTACTGTTGACAAAGCTGATAATGACAGAATGAGCGCAGATAAGAGTATGCTATCTGTTGAGTGTGTTGTACACAAATGGGGATCACTGGTGGCTTTTGTGAGTTATCAGACTGTGTTGAGAAAGTCAAAAAGTTTCTTCTTATATGATCTATCATAGAAAACTGAGTTACTTATAGAGATAAATAAGCACAAAGAAAGTGACACTTAACAAACTTTACATCTCATCTTTAATTTTTCTGGAGGGAGAAAGAACAAGTACTTATCTTCGTGTTAAGTTTAAATAATGTGGTAAAACGAAATAAATCGAGTCTGTTAGCTACGACTGCTGAATCTGGAGTGTTTAAAAACTCACCGCAAACCAAATCTTGACACCACCAAATTTACTGTCAGGCCACATTTTCTTGAAAAACCTGGCCATGGTGAGCCCGATACTTGCAGCTAGCACCCACGTAATGACCATCAGGCAACCTGTTAAAACAGTTAAGTTAGTTGCGTATCATTTACAGGACGTTGCAGAACCAGCCTCCAGCATTTGTTGGCTGTTGTGGGTTTTCTTGGCACAATTTACGTTCACTAGTTTGCCAGTGCTCCTTAACGGTCAGCTCTCAGTACCAATGTCGAAACCAACGCAAGACAAATCGTCATTTCGCTGGGATCGAACCTGGCACCGCGGCATTTGGAAGCGCGTTTGCAACGCCTAAGCCACAGACGCCGACTATTATAACAGAAACACAGTAAATTGTAAAATTTACACATGTAATAAACTCAGTTAATGTATTTTTTTTTTAAATTTTAACTCAAACATATAAAAGTTGACAAATATTCAAAGCGTGTGATTATTGATTGATAATGTTTATTTTCTTAGTACTCCAGAGAGATCCGATGATTCCCCGCCTCCTCGTCACAAGCTGAACAAACATAAAACAACTGATGACGCCTGTTCAATGTTGATTAATCAAATGCCTTGTCCCCTTGGGGAAAGGTTCATTTCTTTCAGCCCCAGACTGCAACCCCATGACCGTTAGCCTGGACGGGGATACAGTCATGTCCTTTACCGCATTCCTTCTCGCGGTAAGTACTGTGCATAGCACTGGTAACATCAATTCTGTCCAGAACAGGCCATCTGTAGCAAGGACAAAATAATCTACATGATAATCATTGTAATGAAAATATCAGGAAAAGACAATTGCTGCCCGCTAGAGAAAAGGACAACCCATATTTTGGCACGTCAGGAGAATGGTAAATTGGGTGTATTTTGTGACAGCATGACAGCTACAAGAAAAGAGACTCGCATGAAAATAAGGTTAGCAAAAACTGGACATTTTGGCGTCACAGCATTGAAAATCATCTGTATAATAAAAGACTTGACATTTCACGAGGAAGAATGTTGTCCCGCATTTCCTTCCGTGATTGTCTCACGCGTCTTTAATTGTATTATCCCAGTGTTTATAGATCTCATTTTACTTATCTCGCATTGATGGTTTTAAGAGAACCACTGTCGTGTTATAAGATGAACAACCTGTTTCCTAGCCGGCGTACGATCCTCATCTTTTATAAAATAGCACGCGTAAAAAAAACAAGTAATCACATTTATAAAGTCGAAAAGGGGGAGGGGGAACCCACAATAATAAAGTTTTAATCAAATACATTTATACAGTTTTAAACAAACAAATTTATTTACAAAGTTGTAAACAAACACATTTATGAAGCTGAAAACAGACACATAAAAAAATCAAACTCCACACTGGCCACCTAAAGTCACTCACCATGCGCTTTAACTAAGGGGTAGTCAGGAGTTTCTAGAGATATGTCCACCGTAGGATCGGTAAAGTCCACTTTTGATGACCATACCGATCTATCTGCAACTGCATGTTGTGCAAGATCACCAGCTGCAAGTCAAATGTAGTGAAGGTAAAGGTCAAAAGTAGTATGCAATTTGTCTTAGTTTTGTGATATTATAATAGAGTATTCTGCAATGTGGCAGAGGTGGTTTATTTATAAAGAAACTGGCACGACAATATCAATGCTACTTAAACAAACAAACAAAAACAAAAAAAAACATATTTCGTAATAAAGAGGTTAGCATGCTTGGCCACACACACAAGTCTTATAGGTTCTAGTCCTAAAAGAGATGAGTTTTTGTGTGTTTATAGACCTTGTTAGTCCATCTAGGCACACGGATAACATTAAACGGTAGATGTATCACGGAGAAAAGGAAGAGAATAGGACAGGCTAAAACTGCATTTTATAAAATAAAGAACATTGTCATTGGAGGTTAGGAAAATAACTCGTCCATACCATATAGAGCCAGTTTTAATACACGGCTGGGAATCCTAGATTACTGATATAAACAAACCAAACAATTTCTTGGGGTCTCAAAGTTATGGTATTACAGATGAAGCCTCGAATTCTTGGTATAACCGAAAATAGAAACTCGGATGTTCTAAAGGAGGCGAGGGATCGACGACAAATTATCACAAACATCAAAAGGAGATAGTCATAATTTTTTAGGTCATTTATGAAAAGACTAGACCTACTAGAACATTTTGGGACCACTGAAAAAAATCTTTGGAAAGAGAGACAGAGGAAGACAACATGAAAAGATTCTTGACAGCCTTTTGTCATAGAATGAAGGGATCTCACCACATTAACTGCTAAACGCAGTTGTACATCGCAGACTGTGTAGAGGTATGATCGCTTGGCACTTGATGATGATACTACTCATGGGTATAACATTGAGCATCAGAAGGAATGCAGGGTCACTGAACCACCTGTGGTGGTGCTCCAGGATCACGGCTCATACTGGTCAAGGCCTCTATCTGCACCTCCCTGTGGTCGTCCTAGAAATAGATTCCCCACCGGTGGCCTGGCCAACCTAGGGTGGTGGATAGATGTTTCCTTCGAAGTCATAGTGCATCTGCACGAGCGGCAAAGAACTAAAGGTCTTTATAAAAAAAAAAAAAATAAGCCAGATCTGTAAAACTGACGTGGAAAAAAAAAATCAAGTTCTGGCAAAAAGGTCGAAGTTTTGCTTAGAGCCCAGAACCACTGGCCCAGCAAGCAAAAGACTAGCCAATGGAGTGCGGCGGCTCCCACATATTCATTGTCAGCCGTAACCATACATGTGAATTAATGAACCTAAAAACAAAAACAGTGGACATAATGACCTTTCCCAGCCACACCCCTAGCTGTGATTATGTACCACTGTTGCTTCAGGTCGTAGATGTTAGGGTTGTTGGAACTTGTCTGTCTGCTCAACGTACATGTCAGGACACCACCAGAGTAGCTGCCTGTTATGTTCGAAAGGCCGTCTGTGTTCTGGCAAAGAAAACAATGTGATTATTGTATAACGTACTGCCGGCGTGCAGAGACAATATTGGGTGGGGTGGAGTAGGGTGTGTGCCTCTACGCCCCTTCCTCTTGCCGCCATATAATTTCCAGCCCCCCCAAAAAAGAGCGGAAAGGGGAGAGGGGGGGGGGGGGTAATGTTTAAGAAGGCTAATCCTACTTTTGGACCATGATAATTATAATAAGGTGCAGAATGGTAAATAATTACATGTACAATAATATATCACACAGGTCAAGACCTATTTGCCTAATACGCGAAAGGCGTGAGAAAGGCTAATTTACTTTACTTTTTCTATGTGAAATAATATGAAATATACGAAGAAATACTTTTAAAGAAACTTCAAAGCACGGTTACAGTTGGCTGCTTAGCTTCCTTACAAAATTATGGAACGGAACCTCAGCCTTTTTTTACTAAAACTGTGTGTGTGTGGGGGGGGGGGGGAGGGGAGGAGGAAGTAGCATGAGACCCAAGTTCTGGCGCCCATGACATACTGTATACAATAAGAAAGAAGAAATTCTATAAACTCTTATAAATTCATCAAATCTTATTGCAATGAAGAGATGACAAATTGACAACCTGACAAAACGACACTTAGACTAGCTTTAGGGTAGTACAGAAAACATGCTGGATTGCACGTTTATAAAAGAATGTTTATAAGCACTGCAGCAATGATACAACTTAAGTTAAGATCACACAATCTGAAGCTAATTAAGTTAGTTGTGTATCCTTTAGAAGTTGGCCATTTCTTCCTGAAATGTCAGCTCTCGGTACCACTGTCGAAACCAAGGCAAGACAAGCCGTCTGCAGCTGGGATCAAAACCCGGCATTACGAAGCGCGTTCGCAACGCCTAAGCCACAGACGCCGACCTATAACTAGTACTGGTTTAAAAAGCTGAGTATAGGAACAACAGATAAGTTTATTGCAATCAAAGTAAGTAAAGTGAAGAACATTTTTTTTATATCAGTGGCGCATTAGACATATGATGCTTGACCTATATGTTTATAGAACAAGGGTCTCTATGGATTATGTGGTCAACATCACGCAGGTCGCCTTTACTTCCCAGTACTTTATTGGTATCGGTTTTAGGCTGGGTTGACCTGGCAGACGTGGTCATGTTTGAAAAAAAAAATCTCGATGCAGGTTCAAAAACATGACCTTGGCGCCGGCGGGCGGAGCGTCCAGCCTCTACCCTGCAGAGGCTCTATACATTCTTTGTGAGCATGGTTAAAGTACGGCTACGAACTTAACTGTAACAATGAAGGCCCAACAAATGCAGAATACATTGCTGGCCTAAGCCAGTTTCATTCTAAAACAAATTCTTTGGCGAATTACTGTCTGGATCTCACCGAGCCTGTGTTTCCCCGTGTGGGTTCCTGGGCCCATTATGAAAAAAAAAAAAAAAAACAAAGACTGGACCTTCTGTTCCGTCCCCCTCCATCTTTTTCCTCCAGCAGGCATGTCGTAAAAGGCGACTAATTAGGTGTGTTTCCCTCGATGTCGGAGTGCATCTGCTGAAAGGCAAGAAAATAAAAGTGTGGATCCAAAAAAGCTGGATGTGTGAAACGGATATGCAGGCAAAACGCAAGTTCTGGAACAAAATTCTAAAGGTCCAGAGGAGGACGAATATTCGGAACTTTTCGCCCGGGTGAACGCAAAGAAGAAGAAGTTTGACTTTTCCGATAAGCAAAGGAAAACTGACTTCTGAATGTCTATGATAAGAAAATGAGGAGCGGCTGGTCGAACGGTTAGAACGCTGGGTTCTCAAGCCAGAGACCCAGGTTCGAATCCTCGACATGACGGGATTTTTTCTGTCGGAGGCAAAATAAAATCTTCACCTGCATAGTCGTGGCAAAAACACTAGCTATGCGCCAATAAATCCTCAGACTCAAAGACCACTCCCCCCACCCCCACCTCCCGCCCCTTTCTACACAGCAAAAGAGGTATAATAAAAGCAGTAATTGGCAGTTTCGAGTAAGAAAATAAAGAAAGATATTTACGCTACAACACATTTTTGTTGTTGTTGACGGTTTGGAAAGGGATACCTTACATTTTGCAATGGACTGTTTCCATGAGATGCATCATTGTATGAAGCGTATGCGCCCTGCTTCCCTTGGTAACTGGTACATGCTACCACGCTCGCTGGACCCTGAAATCAGCCGTGATTACATAATATTATCGATCATAGAGTTAGGAAGGAACACTGATGACGTAGCACACTAAACAATTGTATACATATGCTTGAAAATGTTTCTACCCCTGAGATATTACTTGAAAAATTATAGATTTTAAACAGATTCCTCCTTTTTTCTGATTCTGTTTACCATCAACATTATCACCACCACCACCGTTACCATTACCATTATCCCTATTGTTACCATTACCATCTTTTACTTCTTCTCTCTACCTCTTCCTCTCCCCCTTCTCTTCTTCCCCTCCTGCCCCTCACCCCGCCCCTCCCATCCTCCTCTTTCTCCTCATTGTTCTCCTTCTCCTCCTTCTTCTTCTTCAGCATCATCATCATCACCAACATCATCACCGCTATCATCATCATTCTCATCATCATTAATTCGTCCTTCTCCTCCTCTTCTAACGTCTTTTCTCCCTTTACTTTTGTCCTTCTATAAATTTAAAAAAAACACACTATTATTTGGTGCGTGATGGCAACATTCTGTAAATGACATGCTGCCGGATGATAACTATGAGTATGATTAGTAGCTTAATAATGATATCTGAGTATGTCAACACAGCATAATAGCAAATATAAATCTTACCATTGTACTTGTCTGACTGAGCCCAAAGGCAACATAATTGTCACCAGGGGCTGCAAATCCTGATTTCAGTGTCATTACAAAATAGCTTCCCTTGTTTTCCCACGATGCCAGCAGATCGCACGCGTTGTTGTTACAGTTGCTATAGCAACCTTTAGTTTTTCCACACTCAGGGTCTTTTTGAAATTGGCTTACCTAAAAAAAAAAAAAAGACACACAAATTATGAATTAAAATTGTCTTGGGAAATATTCGTTTCTTTTAAAGAGCTAGAACTACCATACTCAAATGAAAGAAAAAAGTAAATAACATTTTTATTAGGCTGGAGAACGGGTAACACAGAGCGAATTACACGTTTGTTGGCAGCGTTAAACATTAAAATATGTCTGGTACTTATCTTCGATGTAATCCGTTCATTATCAGTTCATTATAAATTCTAACTGGAACTCTTATTGAATTGTTTCGTTACAAAGTTTGTGGCCATCTATTATCTCCTGTGTTTGTACTTTTGACAGCTGTTTAGTTTCGATTTCAAAGTCCAGTGCACAGGTTTCGGTCATTTTCAACACTACCTGCACCTTTAAAAAGTCGGCACTCTTCCGAATACCGGTCCCAAATTATTCACTGTTTAAAAAAGTCGTCGCTATGTGGGATGCAATTTTTCGATACTTTAAAAACCCCACCCTGGCTATTGCCGGGGACCCTAATAAAACCTAACGGTTTAACGCGATTTCCGGGACCTCTCTACGGATGATCCTCATCCGCATGGTGTCACTGTGTCACCGGTGTTTATCGCTTTGTGTGATGTCCTTCCTGTTGGGGTAACACTGACCTACCTACCTACCTACCTACCTACCCATTTCCAACATTTGCTCTATGGATGCAGGGACATACTTTAAATAAGTTATGAATTTTCTGTTGATACGGAGGTATTCAATATATTTCTACTACTGACTAATGTTAGTATTAACTATTGCTATTACTACTATTACCACTACCACCACAACTACAATAACAATTATGTATTAAAGCAAGGCTTACGCCTCTTTACTCAGCCACGGTACTAGGGAGATAAATTACTGGGGAAGTCAAGCATTAGATCTTCACGTATTCTAGATCTCGACATGTAAGCTGAGGTGACACGTTCCCATTTTCGTCGCTTGTCTTGTTCTCCACAGACCCCCCCCCCCCCCCTCCCTTTTCTCACCCTCAAAGTGTGGAAATTCTCTGCTATCCATTTCTTTTGGCTGGGGGCCTTTTGAGCCCTACAGGTAGGACAACTTTAAACAAATAAGAAATAAAAAAGCGCTGATATATGGACTGCATACAGTAGACACAATTGTCTACATTATGAGGACCCATTGGATGTGAACTGCTCAGGAAATTATATCACAGTCATTTCTATTTAGAGATACGAAGAAGCATCTTATGTGAGCTTTTGATCAAAATAGGCTACAAACAAATTCAAGCAAAGCCGAATTCTAGTAAAGACTTACTGGTGATGTAGGCGTAGAGGTAACTGGTACAGGTGTTGTAACAACGCCAAAAGTGTCGTCTGTTGTCACATCTGACAAATTAATCCGGCCAGACGTTTGATACCGCTCCGTTTTACTATGACGTTTGAGGTTACCAGCTGATGATATATATATATATATATATATATATATATATATATATATATATATAGATGTTTTTACACACATGTACGAATATATTGGTTTTAAGTATATCATCATCATCATCATCATCATCATCATCATCATCATCATCATCATCATCATCATCATCATCATCATCATCAAGTGCCTTGCCGACTGGCGTGGGGATCATGCCTTTCCACAATCTGGGATCCCCAGCTGCGTGTAAGTTCGTGTGTTCACACCCCTCCGTGCCATGACAAAAGGCCGTCAAGAAACCTCTCACGTTGTCTTTGTCTGTCTCTCTTTCTAAAAACTTTTCCAGTGGTCACAACATGCTCCATTTTCCCTCGTCTCATAAAAATATGATAAGTTGTCTGAGAGCACTCGCCTCTTTTAAAACATCTGGGTTGCTCTTGTTAGTTGTCCAAGGAATTCTAAGGATTCTTCTGTAAAACCATATCTCCACTGCCTAAAGATAGTGTTTGGCTTGTTTATTAACTGTCCAGGATTCCCAGTCGTATGTTAAAACTGTCTCTATATATATGTGTGTGTGTGTGTGTGTGTTGTCCATCAAGATAATGATGACCACTCTTTTTCATCAAGTGTAAGTACGAAGATGACTGATGAGGCCGAAGCGGGCCAGAAAGGACAGTAAGGACAGAGAATGAGTGTTGTGCCAGAGAGGGGATCTCCTTCAGTCGCCTTTCTGTCCATCCTTTTCTTAATCAGTCTTGTTGTTCTGTTTGCTTCACATGTAGCCACGCCCTTGTGTATAGTTGCACGCCATGCATTTCGATCTTAAGTGGCAGCCTCCCAATTGGTGTTATTCATTCCAAATGCTTTGAGTGAAGACTTCAAGGTGTCCTTAAAGCGTTTCTTTTGCCCACCTAGGGAACGTTTCCCATTTTGCAGCTAACCATAAAAGAGTTATATATATATATATATATATATATATATATATATATATATATATATATATATATATATATATATTTGAAAAACACACACTCATATATATTATACACACACACACACATTGTAAATAAAAAAACATACAAATAACAACGGTTAGAAGAATCTGCCGTCCGCGGCAATCAAACCGTAGTAATCAAGAATTGGATTTTGAAACGATTTTACTATAGCCTCAAGCCACAGAGCCGTGCAATAAACAATAAATCTGTTATAGTTACAAAACATTACAAAACAATATATAATTAACATTCTAGATACCAGAGCAGTTTAAGTTGCTATCGAGATACATCTTTCTTCTTCTTCGATTCTTCTGTCAGAAACCTTTATATCAAGAGGCCAGTAGACTTGATGAAAGCTATGGTGCAGTCCAAATTATCACGTGTACCACATACACTTTCCTTGAGTGAGGTTGCAACAGACCACATAGACTTTCTGTTAGCAGCATACAGTGTTGGTGTACATACTCAGTATGTTCAGGTGCAAGGTTGCAGGGACACACCTCCATGTTTCCTTTACAGAAAAGATATTTCATTTTTTCTGTTTTTGTCAACTCTTTCTTTTTTTTCTCCCCTAAACGAGGTTCATATTATGTATTACAAAGCGAGGTTATGAAGAGTTTCTAGACATGATGTTAGAGTGGCCTGAATACAAGACATACATGGAGTCAATGGTCTGGTTCTTGTACTGTTTCTACAGCATTGAAATGTCAGGGATGTTAGCTATTGGTTGTTCAGAGGTAGCCTTATTGAATAAATTAAACAACAAGTCGCCGTTTCTAGATTAAGTTTCAACTTGTGGGTCATTATTGTAAAAAAAGTGGGGGGGGGGGGGGTAATAATAGGCGCACTGCCTTCCCAACACGCATCTCGTAGGTGTCAACTAATTGGGGACTTCCTTTAAAGTCGGAGTGAATCAGCCCGAGTGGCAAGCAAAACCATCTGCACACAAATAAGCCATTAAAACAGCTGTACATTCAAAACTCAGACCCTAGCACAAATGTTAGGTTAGTTGCGTATCCTTTACATGACGTTGCAGAAACAACCCTAACAGCCCCTGGCTGTTGTGTGGTTTGTCTTGGCAAATTTACGTCCAGCAGTTTTCCATTGCTCGCTGGACGGTCGGCTTTTTTGATACCACTGTCGAAACCAACGCAAGGCGCGTAGCCCGCAGCTGGGATGGAACCCGGCATCCCGGCATTACGAAGCGTTCGCATCGACTTAGCCACAGAGCCGACCCTAGCACAAAGCCAAAGTCTAAACGGACGAACAATCAGGACTTTCTGCAGGAGCTCACAGCCGGCGAACAAAGAAGAACAAAAGAAGATTAAGTTCACTGTTCCACTTACTTCACCAGGTCATCATTTCTGATCATAACTGAGTTGTCTGTCCATTTATTGCTAAACATCATTACTATATAGTTAATTGTACTGGAGACATTTCTTACCTGTTTCAGAGTTTGAAAAAATGAGTTTGCTTATAAAGAAATACAACTAACCTGCGTCGACATCTCCTTCGGCGATGATCAGATACCATGGTTCAGTGAGGTTGTAAACTTGAGGGTCGTTGCTGACTGTATCACGATAGAATGAGCACTCGAGCAGTCCGCCGTTGTATGAATTTGTCTCGTTGCTTATACCCTCCTTCGGCTAGAGAAATCGATTATTTGAGCTATTATATTTACAATGTTTATGCAAAATCTGTACAACTTGTCAAATTCCCGCCAATGGATGTCAGAAATATTTTTTTTAGGCTACAAAGAAGTAATTCGATATATTACTCCCGTCGATACATGGGAAACAATTTTTGTTTTTATGACAAATCCATCCCGGCTGGACTTCTTATTACTTTGTAAACGTCGTATATCCCTAATGTAACCTTACGATTGAACTGGGCTCTTGGGATTGACCTGAGAATTTTTCTTCAAAATAGTGACACTTTGTGTCACCGGGTATTTATTGTTCATTGTGTATTCCTACTGGGGTTCAACATTACTCACTCACAAATAACTAGTTTGAGTAAATGGCTGTTGATCCTGAATAAGTTGAAAGGAAAAGATGGTCAACATAATAGATTCTGTCTTTGGGATGTGAATAATCCCGCCTTTTTCAAGATATGCCATGGGGAGTGCAACACACAATCCTCTTCTCTTGGTGGTTCCTTTCCACGCAGTCGCATGACAGCCCACACACCTCTAGTAGTCATGGACCTGCCCACATCTTTTCATCTCTATGGTAATGAGGCACTTTTAAATCTTGGGACTTTCATGCATAGGTAAATAGTCCTTATTTTTTACTTATGGGTCAAGATGTCGGGTTAAGGACTCATTTCTATCATAATTCTCTTGGAAGTGACATATATTTAAATTCAGCCATATAGATAGGAGTTTCGTTGATAGTGAAGCCAAATTCCATTGTCCTAACTACCGCTTTGGATGAATCCCCTTCCGCCTCTAACTGGAGAAACGCTTAGTTTGAACTCATTCTTGACTAAGCTTCCAGAGCGAAAAGACAGGCCTACTGCCTTTTCTGCCTATTTGCTTACCTCCGTTTGAATCACCCAATCATTCGGGAACGTCCATGAGCATGG